TTGCTTTGTTTAATAAATTGATTTAATGTCTTCCCAGGTCTTCAATGTCAGAGACTTTCACTTCTTCTCACTGTGGCTGTTTAAATGAGCCACTACAGTTGTTATTTTTGTTATTGTTAGCTGCAAATATTAAATATCCATTCATCTGCTGGTAGCAAGCTAACTAGCGCTTGCAACTCTATTCAATTTCTTACTTTTTCTTATAAACTTTAAAACCAGCCATATGTTAATTAAAATACATTTACCTTTGCTAATGCAGTCAATTATTGTGAAATCCATAGAGTATAATTTTCATGATTGTTGCAATAACTAATGTTCTATGTGTATTCCTAATGTGTCATGTGTGTTTCAGTCTTACAGGTGTCAGACTGTGTTGAAGGTGTTCAAAGGTAAGAATCACACTCTCACACATTGATTGTTCTTCTGTATTATTATGTTGTTTTTAGAATAAACCATTATTTGGTGTATTCTCTTTGAAAACATCTATCTTTTTCTCAGATTGTTCAGCAACTCACTCAAGATGAGGGAAAAGAGCAACAAGGGGAAAATGCCCCCTCGGAAATGCAACATGTGTAGAGTAATACAGGGTAAGTAGCTTTCAGGGCTCATTTGTGTCCATGTGCAAAACAAATGCACATTTGCAATTGTTTTTTACATGAAATTACTCCAATGACCAAAGCCTTATCCCAAGTTTCTCAGACGGAGTGTCTTCCAGTGTCTCGAGCTAGTGCAGTGCCAAGGTTTGTATCACATGGTGATGGATCGAGTGGTTTGAGGCATTAATAGAAAGTTATGTGTTGTTATATAACTTTGCCACATTATGTTGAAACTAAACATGTTCCACATTTTCAGGTGCTGTGCTTGGACCTTGTGATGAGAGACTGAAGACCAAGAGAGGACACATGTTGGAACATCAACATTCAATAAATGCATTCTTCTGCCTTTCAGATTGTGTTTTTACATCTGGGGAACCTAGAGTGTAGCTTGTGCCTGTTTTAATACTGATCCAAACATAGGCGCTACAAATCATGTTTTTTTACTTTGGCATGAACTGTTCAGTACAGTAGTGTTCATAACACTGTGCCCTGTGTGCTTTAACTTGTACTTTGATGTAGAGAAACATGATTTTTAATGCAGCTCCATTTGCAATAATGACTCGATATCCTTCTACTACAGTTGTTCTAATGATTTTTACAAATAAAAAATAAAAAAAAGGGTCTTCCTGGAAATGTGAGACAGGCTTCTTCTTTGACCAATGTTAAAAATCCAGGTTTAAAACACTTCTGTTTCTGACTTCAACTGAGAGATTGTTGATGAGCAGATTTTATTTGTATCTTTTTAATTTACTGTCAATATTTATAATGGTAATGGCCTTGTTTGATTGTTTCTATCTTTTGTTCAGTGCTTTGAGTTTCCTTTTGTTTTGACTGTGCTATACAAATAAAACTTGCCTTGCCTATTGCAAAAAGTATGTCTCGACCAGTGAGTGATTCTGCCAGCGGTTAAGTAGGTCAATAGGACTGTAAAATGGGGACGTCATATAAACGTCAATATTTTGGTCATAGAAGACGTCAGACCGAGGACGTCGGACCCGACCGGTTCTGTACCACATTGCAACCTCATTTGAATGAAACGTCCAGATGACGTTGAAATGACGTCGTTTTGACATCTGCTTGCTTCGTGGGAACGACGGAAAACGAACGGCATATAAACCGTCCATATTGTTGGTCATATAAGACGTTGAGAGGACGTCAGACCCAAAACGGTTCTGTACCACATTCAACTGCAACCTTGAATTGAACGTCCAGATGACGTTGAAATTACGTAGTTGTTGAACACTGCTTGCTTAGTGGGAACGACTGAAACACGAACGTCATATAAACGTCAATATTTTGGTAATATGAGACGGTGATAGAGTCAGACCGACCGGTTCCGTACCACATTCAAACCTGATTTGAAGTGCCTCAACGTAACATTGGAGGTTGTGGTGACGTCGGGCAAACGGACGTCGAGAATAACTTCATTATGCACCCACCCAGTGACCTATATTCTACGGTCGGACAACGACGTTCAAAATTACGTGAGTCAAACGTCGGCGTGCTTAGTGGGTTAAAGTAAAAACCATAGAAAGACTGTTAACTGTACTAAACAAAGTACATCCAAGTTGAATGCCGGGTGGCTTCTACAGCTTTTAGACAAGACATGACTATGCTATTTGTGACCCTGATTTAAATCCTAGTGGCCAGACAATCTTGAATTTTGTGACACATTGGTTAAGGTTTAATGGGGGGTAGTTCACCAGTTATAACTGTAGTTGTCTGCTAACCCAACGAGATCATAATATTATCTCCTTTTAGGATACGATCAGTAGTGGGTACAGTTCAGTTCTATTTACAAACTGTCCTTACCTGCTCTTTATGTTGGAGAAAGCCTCACGTGGTACAGTTAGTACCACTTAACACACAACCACAAACTTGGGCTCTAGTGAGAAGTGGGACCCACCGTATGATCTCAGTCATTTAAGTGTAGAGCAGGACGCTATAGTTAAACAATGCTCAGAGAGGATTGTGAGTCTTTTCTCACAAACTGACACAGACATCAAAAAACCACTAAGTAGGTAAATCAGAAAATGTTAGGCCTTCTGGTCCTACTACAGACAATTCATCAGGGACTTTCCCGGAAAAGCAAGCTGTCTGTCATGATTATTGAAAGCTGGACAAAGGAACAGAAGTACAGGACAAATGGGAAGAAAGAAAAATACAAAGAAATCCTGTCAAGTTGTCCTTCAACAAACAAGTAGAGTGGACTGAACAACACCAAGTGCACTTGAGGAACTAATCACTGTTTGCTCAAACCCACCAGTTGTTGGTTTCCCGGACTGCGCCCAGATCCGTTTATTGTGCCTCACTGAGACTCACACCAAGGTCTAGGTTGCAGTGCTGTATCAAAGAACTAGATGGCTTACTTCGAGTTATTGCTTTGGCTCCCGCACATTACTGCAGCTGAAAATTAACTACCTCCTCCATGCTGGGGAAGCTAGAGTTTTGGCATTAAAATGGGTATCACAAACATTTTAGAGATATTTTTCTATGCCCCAACATTTCACTGTGTTCAGCGACAAAAGAACCGCTAAAATACATTTTGTCAACAGCTTATACTGAATGCAAACCACGTCGAGATGGGTCCGCAGAGCTCGCTGACTTTCAGTTGATATAAAATACAACCAGAAAAGACAAATGGTGACGCTGATGCGCTATCAAGAGTGCCCTTGATGTTGAGACACTAATGAAAGACTGTTCATGGAACTCCTCATAACTCCATTTCAGCTGCTATTCAGGAAATAGAAGGTACTAAAATGACCACTTGGCCACATGACAATTGTCTGCTGCAGCCGTGTCAGTCACAACTCAAGGTGAGCCAGACATAGCATCAATCAAACCCATTCCGAAAGGACACACTTAAGGGAGATCAAAAGATTGTTCCGTTTATACAGGTCCTGTATTACAATGTAAACAGTCAGGTTCAAGACAACTGGGACCAAAAATAGTATATACACACATTCGCAGCCCAAACAAATTGTCTGGTTTCAGAGAATGGGGAAAAATCTGCTTGAAGGGATGGCCATTCTATACAGAGCACACGAATGTTCGAAAACAGCGTGTCATGCCAGATAAAGTTTGAATAAAGACATTGCGTGTAAGAATTGTCACAAACGTATGGGCCATCAAGGTGTAGACCGACACAGTGGCCACTTATTACGAGTCCGCTTCTTTTGGCATTACATGCAATCAGATATTGAACTTTAGTGACCAAAGTTTGTCATGTGTTAAAACAGAAGAAAAACTAGCGTGATATGAAAAGCTCCTATGATCAATATTGGTAACAAACCCCGCCATTTGAACTTGTGTATATTGACTTTCTCCAAATTCTTGACAAATGCAAAAAGGCGGTTATGAATATATTTTTAGTGAGTGTAGACCACTGCACAGTTGCACAAGCTTAAGCCACAAACCTCAAAGTACAGGGAAACCCCCCGCTCCCTCCCGTCAAATGCTTATATTCAATGATTATGCCCTGAAATTTGGTTTCCCTTGCCGTATTCACCATGGACCATGGCGGTGAAATTTGAAATTCAGTTATGTCTCTCAGCTCAAAGAAACTCAGTGGCACTGCAGGCTCCTGGACAAACCACGTTACCCATCCAATGGGAACATGGTCAAGTTGGGCGCATGAATCGGACACTGTTACAAATGTGAAGACACTAACTGAAACACAAAAGTACGAACTGGAAGGAGGTCTATCAACAAGTGTTGTACTCTTACAACTGGTACACGTGTGGAAGTGACTGGTTACTATCTTTTTATCTACTGTTCGGGCGGTCACCCAGTATTACCAGTAGATATTGCTCTTTGGACTGTATTCAGACACCCATTTTAGTGACAAGAGACTATGTTGAAAGATGGATAAGAGGGTTGGAGGAGGACTATGCCACACAATTGCAAATGAGAATTGCAAAGAAATCTGCTGAAAGGAAGCCAAAAAGACATTTTGATGTAGTGTGAAGGAGTTTTGTGGTCCACCCGGTGAGAGAGTACTGCGTCAAAAACCTGACTCCAAGGGGGAGGCCCAGGATAAAATAAAAAACTTTTTGGAAGACACTATCCTTACAGTAGTCAGACAAATGGGGCCTGAACCTCCCGATCGTATGAGTTAAAACCTGAGAGTGGCAAAGGACGCTCTAGAGTGCTACACCAGAAATTACATTATGTCATGTGATTGTTTACCTTGTGAGTCAGACCCAGAACAAGGACAATCCTGTAAACAGAAAAAGGGGACAAAACGGCTAGAGTCATTGAGGACTCTGATGATGATACAGAGCAGTGAGGAGTGCAGCTTTTACTATGTGCCTCATTTGCTACCATTGCTCCAGCCATCAGATCATGCTGAAAACAAGAGGCCCCGCTGTAGTGAGCGATACTGTCTCCAGCTACCAGTCCTGCTTATAACCACACATGGTCATTGGTGGTGATACCATGGACGTGCCGGAGCTGCTTGCTGAGGAGCATGCTCTCGTGAGGAGGCAGATTCCGACTGTGGTTAATTCCACTGGACCCCCCACCGCCTGCTGTGATTGAGAGGGAACCGATGAGCTGATAACCCCAGCGGCCCTCAACGAGAGAGACCACCCGCCGAGCCGTATGACCTACGACCATCTTGGGTAACACCATCCGTCTAACACCCATCCAGCCTGCGCCACAATTGTTACTGTGTATCAGGTCTGATCCCGTGGTTTTAAGTCTACAGCGCATACTACCACAACCATTCGGGATGAATGGAATACAAAATCAGGTGTAAGTCGTCACTTAAGGATGTAGAAATGTAAAGACTGTCATACTAAGTTTCCTTTCATGGACACACGACTCAAAAGGACTGCTTTATGGAGATTAGGCATATGCTACATTAATTTATTCGACCTTTCAGTCATATACTGTGGTGATGCATTGGGTAAGCTATCCACAGGAGAGAGTGATCCAGGTTTGTTTTTGGATATGGACTAATGATCGTGGAACATCGACTGAAAGGGATTTTGGCTTTTCTGTAGTATGTGGGACGACATCTTTCAAGTGGGGGAGAGTGTAATAGGTTATTCACAATGTTATTTTTAATAAATATAAGTTCTGAATATTAATTAACTTTCACAACCTTAATGCCTCGATATAGATACAGTTTTTAAAAAGTATGTTAACTGTTTCATGATTATTAATATTTTAGCATTATAGTTTTTTTGTTAGATCAGCTAGTAGGTCTTGGACTCTCGATCACGAATGGTATGCACTTCGCGCACTCAAGAGGGACCTTTCGATGTTTATCTCATTGCATTAATGTCCGCATTGAGGAAAACAGTAAATCACTCTCGTGATCTTTTTCTCCCTGTTTCAGTGTAAAGTAGCAGAGGATTTACTTTGAATGTGTCAGTGGTACTTGGCAGGTGTTTTACTGTTCATAAGATGTGTTTTTAGAATGCTAGTAGTTCGTTGTGTGCGTTGGAATTTAGAGTCGTTATGCCCAAATGGTCTTCAGCGCTCCGCATTTTGTACGCACTTTTGGTTGTTCTGAAGAAGAGTGAAATTCTAATTGCTGTTATTCTTGACTGGATTGCATTAAAGTCATCGCAGGAGGATAAACACGTAAATCATCTCGTGATTTTTTCTCCCTGTTTCAGGTGCATCTGGTGTGTCTGGGGCGGGTGGCCATAAACTTATAATTTGGCAGTCAAAAACAAGTTTTTTTTTTTCTGTTTTTTAGAATGGAAAACTGGTAATTTGTATGAGGAGGCACTTAAGTGATACAAAAATAGTGTTAAATCACTGTTCTGCATGGTGTGTTGTTTTTCAACTGTTTGTCAAAGACTGCCTGAGATCCAAACTTCCTTTTGCTGATGAAAAAAATTGACAGTCCAGCCTTTCAGAATCTGGTTTTAGTTGTCACATAGTCATAGTACAACATTATTCTGTGGGTCTTGAATATCTGTGATAAACATTGAATACGGCAGGGGATATGGTAAAAGGGGAGGTGACGGGGTCAGAGAAAGCTAAAGGACAAATCATCCACACCACAGCTTATTATATAATAAGGTCCCCCAAACCTGACTCACACTGGCCCCTGTCTTTATATGGCCCCAAAAAATTACATTCCTCTGGCCCCTGTCTGTGGTCCAATAACTGGACTCTCTCTGGCCTCTGGACTGCACCTTCTAATTCTGTCCAAAAAACAGGGTAAAGAACACCTGTGACAAAGGGCAGCAACATGCCATCCCAACTGACGGCCATGGAACACATCTCTGACTGAGTCATACAGGGACTGGACAGCTTCAAGCAAAGACCCCGTACTCCCGGAGTAAAACCAAGAAAACCCCCAAAGTCACCCTTGAAAACATGGTCAAAGGTCTTTCCTAATCCACAAAGGAACATGAGGCCGGAGGAAAGCTTCTTGACCATATAGTCCCTAATGAAGGGTATAGAGCTGTTTCGTACTTTAAAAGGTAATACATTTCCATGGTTCTCTCATTTTTATTTTTCAATGTCAAGCGATAAAAATGGGATAGAGATAAGATGTTGAATGATGCCCTTAAAAAGTCTACAATAACCAGTCATCTTCATGTAAACCGTAAATTGAAGAATGTCTCAATCAGTCCATTGAAGAGGAGTCAAAAGATGATGAAATATTAATAAGTAATAGTTTGTAAAATGACACTGCATCTCCACACACTGAGCACCTCTCTCAGTCGCCCAGAAGAACCGATGCGGGCTGTCGCGGTTGTTTATGACCTCTTCGGTATGTTGAAGGGAAACACATCCACTGTGTAAACTGTATTACAAAGAGGTACTGTAAATCTTGCTCTGATCGGACACGATCTCACATGACTATCTATGTTCAATATTGAGTTCAAAAATAGTCGCTTTCTGCATAGTACCCCCAGGAGGGTGGCTCTTTGAGGACCTACCTTGTGGTATACCAAGACAAGACAGGCCCTTCCCTCCCACCTTACACTTACCCTATCCCTAGCCACCTTCCTTACCTAGCCTCATTGAGCACCCAAGCTTTTCTGTTTGGTCTTTGTCTACAAAATAATCTTAATTTCCTCCGGGGTTCCAAACCGGGGTGTGTTAGAGGAGGGGACGAGTCACTGGCAATTATCTGCTAACAAAACAGCTCCTAACAGATGTACGGGGCTGACCCAGGCTGACTTTGAAAGTGCTATTTCATCAGGTGAGACAAAGCAGAGTAGTGTGTTGATGGATAACAAGTGACGCCCCCGTCTTTAAATGGTGGATGACAAATGTGAAACAAGCCAACCCAACACAACAGGCGATCACAGAAAGCCTGTAACTCATCAGAAGGAAGGAGTCGTCTTGCCACAACTATTTATATATTCAGAACATAAACAAATGTGTCATAGAGCTTTGGCACCAACATTTTGAAAAAACAAAACCTGGAACAATGTATTCAAATTCATCTAACTAGTTGGTCTCAAAACAGTTTGTTCCTAACACTAGTAATTCAAACGCATCTGAATCAGAGTCCCACCTTCACTTAACCATCAGATCTTTAGCTGGATACAGACTACAGATTTTGTCTCCGTGAGATTTTAAGTCGTGACACAGACCACAGATATTCTTATATGATTTTCCTTCTCACAGTCACAGAGACAACTTGTGACTGATTATAATTCAAGTAGCGCTGACAAATATGTATAAAGATGCATGTTTTAAACTTGAACAAACATTGTTTCAGAAATGGTCAATTGCAAAGAGAAGGACAAGGAATGATAAGGAATGATGTATCAAAATGATTTGGATGCAGTCCATGAACACCCACAGTTGTGGATGTAGAAAAATACCTGTATAATAGTTCTTTGTAAAATAAGGGAGGAGAAGTGGCAGAGAGCGTGGTAACAGCGGCCGTCATCCACGGACTGTTTTAAACACTACTGCGACTGAACTTTGGGACAAATGACGCACAGCACTCTGAAGTCGGACTTGAAGACACCGTGGACTGCGTCTGGATATAATATTCTTTCCTTCATGTTTGAAGCCTAAGGATGTAAGGGGCTGCTTCAGGTGAGAGAACTGTGTGCCAGGCAGGAGGATTCTGGCAGTAAAGCTTGAAAAGCATAGTAATGACTTTTTAGACCAAAAATAGTGCATATTATATACTATCCCTTTAAAAATACAAAAGATACGGTGTTTTTAACAAGATGAAACTTTTACAGAACTCTTTCTATTGAGACTAGCGATGTATATCTCCACCACTGAGGCCGATTCGATACACATCTCGATACACTACCAGCGATTCGATACATTAACGATACACTGAAGTCCCTGTCGATACGATGCAATACGATTCGTTCCTATTCACGATACGATGCGAAGATGATTTAATCACGATATGACTGATTTGCAACGGGCTTTGGTTCGACGTGATCCTGTTCGATACAGTTAGTATGAGAGTTTATTAGCCCACATCAGGTTTCTTACCTCAAATTCTGCTTTACTCTATCAATATGAGGGATGCATTTAATATTTGGTTATGGTTATTAGAATTTGTGAAGCGTCTTCGAGTTCTTGAAAGGCGCTATATAAAACCAATGTATTATTATTATTATTATTATTTTTATAGAGCAAACCAAGAAATCCTATTTGAAAAAAACATTATTCAGTATGTACAGAGTATTTATTTATTTGTATCCTTCATGCTCTAAAACGCTGTAGGTCTGGATATCTTTGGAGATGAAGTAGACTAACTAACTGCTATAGCAGTAAATTTCTCCTGTGTGAGTTTAATAAAGTATATCTTATCTTATCCTATCATAGCCTCAGTTAAGGCCTGGGAGCGGGCAGAGTTAGCTGCTTGAGGCGTGTTTTGACCAAATAAGTTTGTGATAGACCTACTGCTCGCGTCGCGTGCTTCGGTATAATCCAAAGGAGAGGAGGGGGTCGCAGCCGCGGAGGTAACCACGCCGTGCCGTCTTCTCAGATGCGTTGCCAAGTTCGTTGTGCTACCCACGTATTTGATTGGCGGCGCCCGGCATTTCCGCACACTTGACTTGTTTTTTTGGAGCCATTAAAAATCTCCTAGGTGTTTATGTTGTGAGCGTTCATGCTTGTTTTGGACCCGAAGCTTACATCAGAGTCTGAGGAGGCGATGGTGCATTCAGGTTGCCTCGGAAATATGACAGGGCAGCGAATAAAACAATCGACTTAAAGTAGTACTAGAATTTAATATGCTGCTATCCAGAATATATAACTACAATATGTGTTTATAATATTTCGGGTGTTCATTTTGACATGTTCAGATGAATTATGTTAAAAAAACGGCTTTCAAGTGGCACTTTTTCACTTCCGCATAGAAACGCTAGGGGGGGCCAAAATGGCGGCGATGACGTAGGAGGAGGGCATCTCACAGCAGCAGACAGCAGTCTGGGCTGAAACTGTAGGAGGTTTCACTGTCATCTGAACAAGGTATAAACATATTTTCATCCGTTTTGTACATAATAGTGTGCAACTCTTTTAACCTTTTAGCCTTATTTGTGAGATTCAAGCTAATTAGTGTTGGGCAAGTTAGCTAACTCTACTTGATATCATAAAACATGCTGACAAGGCTAATATTCGTTTTTACATTATGCCAGTCTCACTGTGGTTGCCTTAGATTTATTTACCACAATGTACATTGTAATATCCATAAATGCTAACACCTATTAACGGTTTAATTAGCATTTTTATCAATGATTGCATCACATGTAGTCTAT